TGCAGGTGTTCAAATATGGCCCAGAGTGATTCCAGTCCACTAGGAAATTAATGTGGATTTCAGGGTGCTGACAAATAATGCATTTCTAATAATCAGTTCTGAATGCTAAATGCCATGTGCACATCTCAGATACTGTAGTCTCCATTCCTGTGGATGAAGGTCCACTCCTTCTTACCCAAACTTACTCCATCAGTAGAAAACCCCTGAGAACATTTTCAGGCATAAATTGCCTGATCAGGTTGTATGGTCAGATCTGTTTCTGTTTTAGAATTATGCTAAAATTTCCACATTCCCATCAATGGGAACAGCCTAAGACGCGGCTGTCGTGGTTTAGGCACACAGGGGCTAATTTTTCACTCACTGTAGTATGCAGTGATAAATCCTCAAGTGTGAATATGTGAAACAGGATATTCTATCACTACTGAACAATCAGTACAGGAGACTAGACTGATGTAGAAACCACCTTAAAAAGTGCACTTGTTACTAGCTTTTGTACTGAGAGCCAAATCTTGCAACACGCAAGGCCCTGCAAATCTGGGAGCTGAGGCTGCTCAGCAGCTTACTGGAGGCAAGTACAAAGCTACAGAATCAAACCCCTTATTTTCGGAGAGCGATCCTCTCACAGCAGCAACTGCTTAGCTGTCTGCTTTCATCTAGTTCATTGTACACCGTTCAAAATAGTCACAAAGACTCTGTCCTGTGTCTTCTGTGAATTCCATTAGCAATGTCATGTTGTATCTGTACATTATTATTAGCTACAATATAAAAAAGCATTTCTCTTTTCTCTAACTTCCATTCCACACTTTTACAATCACCTTCTTAGGTGTACTGTGTTTATATTAAATAGAAACAATTCCCTGTGAATCATTTTAGTATCTATCTGTCTGCTATAAGAAAGGCCTGACTTTTCTTTCATATAATTTACAGCCTGGGTCTCCTGTTAAAAGAACCATGCATTGCTGTAAAATAGCAAACTATAACACTTACTGATTGAATTTTTCTATTATAATCCAGTGAAATTAAAGCAGTTTGGAACAAATGGAAGCAACTGCTGCGATGTTTGTGTAGGGAGACAGATTCACGTATTATAAAAAAGCAGAAAATACAAAGAAACTGAAAGACTATGATGACAACAAAACACATCATCAAATAGAAATGAGCCTCTGCTAGATCTGGGACTTGTTCCCTTACCTAATGACTGAGAAGATGGGTTTTAATTTATAGTTGGATAAGTGACTATTGAGTATGCAGTATAGATTCCCTATTGTGTCTTGTATCAATTCAACAGAGGTGGTCACAAATTGACAGATTTAGGAAATTCCTGCTTTCTGAAATTATCCCAAAACACAGCAGCTTCTATTACTATTTCTGAGAAAACACAGCAGCTTCTATTACTGTATCTGAGTTTAAGCAGAGATGAGAGAGAAGGTCTGCTCTCTCTCCGTTTTCTATGGCTCGAATGAAAATCTTCACAAAAATTAACACCATTCTTTCAAAGGCAATATACTACTTGTTTTCATTCTAAGAAAAGGGAAAACTAATAGTATCTGCATAGCTACTGAATTATTTTAGCAATAGGACTAAAGTATGGTTTTACAAAGTCTGTGTGTAAAGCCAATAGAACTTAAGCTTATGGTAAGGAGCATTGCCAAATTACTGCATTTAAGAGACTGTATCCTTCGGGTTCAGAAACTCCTTCAGACAGTTCCCTGGTTTCACTATCAGATACTTTGTTCTGGAAAAGGGGGTTCATCATTCAAGGCCTGATCTTGAAGTTAACTGGAGTATGTTGTTAGTGGCATCTCCTTGGATATGCTCTGGCTCCATGTGTGGTATTGGACCACCGCAGTGAATCACCATAACTTGAACACAATAGGGTTTATGCTGTCATCTCATTGGTTTTCAAAGTACCTCTTGCCAAAATGATTTCTTTTTTGTATGGCTTTCTATGGGGAAATACATGGTTCCTAGAAGCTTTTAGGGCTCCATAAATCAAAAATGGTTGCAGCTACAGAAACTATGCAGTGTTTCTTCTCATGAGAAAGAAAATCCCACATATTAGATTTTTAGATAAAGATGAAAATAGATACCCTGAGGTTTAGGCACTGGTCTGTTACTCAGGACATCAAGTTTCATTTCTCTGCCGTGAACTCTCTTGGTCTTGTTACAATGAACAAACCACTTAATCTTTTTCAGCCTCTGAAATGAAGACAATGCTGTGTTTCCCCACCTGCTATTTATCTGGTTTACAAACTTCAATTGTAAACTCTTTGGGTACGTTAATGAGTGACTATTTGTACAGAGTCTGGGACAGTGATCAGATTGAGACTTCAGGAAGTCACTAGAGTTCAAACAGAAGCAAAATTACTGCATAAGTTAACTGCTCTAAATGCACATGTAAAGGACAAGTAACTTAAAGATCTGCCATGATTATGACTGTGTTCAATCATAAGAACTGTTTAGTACCTGTGTCACATGTTACACACTGCATGCACATAGTAAATGTATTTGAGTGAAACAATTACAATTTTTGATACGTGCCTGTTCTGTAGTATCTGTCCTCACTCAGAGCAGTTTCCCACTGATGTTTTCTGCTTGAAATCATAATGGAGTAATTGTTAAGCTAAAATGGTAAGATTGGACACAAGAAGATAAAGAATTACTCTCTGTTATAAAGTTGCACATGATTAGAGCTCTTTTCCATACAGTATCCTTCTACCTGTCATGCCTTTCACAGATATTTGATATAAAAAAGAGAAAGCCAAAAAAAGCAAGGATTTACCCAGATAGTTTATATTTTAAAACAAACTGAAGAATCAAAATTATTATTAGCAATATGTAGTGAGATGAATCTAAACTAATCTGCTTTTATGTCTTTAGCCGGTATCTATGAAACTATGATTAAGTTGCACTCGTTTTCCAAAAATGAATAAAAATGCTTAAGGAATATCTCTGAATAAATACAATTTTTAAAAAAATAATCAAATGTTTTGATGTTTTTCCTTGGATTTGAGAGCAGTAGCTTCCTTTGTCCATATCCTGTTGTGACTATAGAAGGATGTGTTTAAAAGACAGAAAGAAAACCTGACCTTTTGATGATTTTATTAACTTAGGGACTCATGACAATTAGAAATATGAGCACAGAGGAAAAGCAATAGCATTTATTCTGCTCCCATTTATTTCATAGTGTTTTTATTTTAAGCCAGTGCTCTAAGGTGGCAGACAAGGACTGCTCATAATCTTTCCAGCTTTTGTTTTCTGAGAATACTGTATGATACTCTCTGATATCTACATCCTTTTATCTTTAAGAAGGCTGTCCCAGACAGGTGATTCTGCCAAAAACTAAGCTACCAGTGGTGAGGCCTGAACTTCAGAACAGGGTGAGAAAGCACCCTCGGAAAAAACAGCCTCTTTGTCACGAGTCACCAAATCAAAATCCAAAACCTTTAATCACTTTCTTTTAAGTCCCTGCCCTTAGGTTTTGGTTATAGCTGCATAAACACAAGATTTGCAAAGTTGTGGCAGTGCTTTTGAAGGCAAAAATTATCCTGAACTGTGTGTGTGAGAACAAAAGTAAAGGTTTTATTCTATAAGAGTCTGGCACTCCTAGTTCCTCCCCCAAATTACAATGTTGCCTTGAAACCAAAGAAAGAATTGCATTGATTTTTCTAGTTCTGATGGCACATGGCATGTCCTTTGACATTCAGGATCATCTCTAAGGAGATGTTTCCTTTGCAGCGCACAAATCTAATCAGGCAAATATAAGTTCACAGCTAAACCACTTCTGCTGGTAGACAACCCTTTGCAGTACAAAACTACTGAGCTTTTGGCTCCTATACACCGGTTGGCTTATCTGCTTAAGAAGCATGGACTTTTAATGTGGATTTAAAGTGATAAGATTTATCTGGTGGAGAAGATTATGTATGCACATTGCATTGGTGACTGGCTTGCTTCAAGTTAACCAGGAATAGGTTTAAACTGAAACAAAATAACTTTTTTAACTGGAAAAAGTCTGTTTTAAATATAATTCAAATTATTGCAAATCATTTCACTAATTTAAAAGTAAGTTAAAAATGAGGACTCAAATTTAGTCTCCATGATCAGACTTGCAAACTGAGGTACCAGCTTCTCCATTATTTTAGTGGAAGTTAGAAACATGATTGTGTTGAAAACCATACCACTGGAGAGATAGGAACTAAAATCTCTTGGATTTCCTATGAAACTGTATCTGTCTGACTCCTATGAACCTAAGTGGCTTTTGAAATTGAGATTTGACTCCGTCATCTGTTAAGGCATACAGAAAAACTTACCCTGCAACTCATCTGAGATGAATTCAGCTGTCAGCAGTGGGACATATCTTCATAAAATGGGCAGAATTCCCTGTATTTGGGATTTGTGTTCTTGTGACTTACCTGTAAATTGAAATGAAAGAGCCCTTGTTTGCTTACTTTCCTGTGCTGGGCCTGGCTTTTCTAGGTCTGGCTTACATGCTGGGAGCCCAAACTATTTCGTAGAGGATCTTTAGAAAATCTTTAATGTTGTGCTTTTTTCCCCACTGCTTCCCTTGGGCACAAGCAGCAGCACTGTAGCATACTGAGCTGCTCCGTCTTTTGCCTTGAAGATTTATGTTTAGCAGAGACGATCTTTGAGATTGCAAAATATGTGACATTTGCGCAATGCCATGGCTCATTTTTGTGGCCTGCAGAAAACTACCCTGTAGATGCTGTTGTAACAGGGAATTTTCTCTCAGCGTATGTGGTCAAAAGAGTCATAATAATTGGTAGGGATTAAAACAAACAGAAGTAATCTGGTGGGGAAAGTAAACTCAAAAGTGCCAGCCTTTTTCATACCTGGGTCAGTTGTAGTGTAGCATTCTAGCCAGGAGATGACTCTTCTGTAATCCCCACAGGACCTGCAGAAAGATCATAATATTTCTTAATGCTTCTGTAATATGTAACCAATATGCTTGCCTTCCCTACCAGAGGTCCCAGATAGCCATGATGCCTACGTACTCCATGATGGGATCTTTCAGAGGACACATGAGTCTCAAAAGTAGCCGTAAGTATTCAAAATTAATATTTGAGAGGTGCCTGTGTGCTCCAATTTTGGAATAACAGCTTGAATGTTATGATATTATTAAAAATACATATTTTATTATTGAAACAATATGAAGTAAATAAGTGCTTCTAGTACCTGCTATTAAAAAAATCTCACCTTCTTAATTCAGGCAAGCAGCTTTCCTGGTAAGCATCTTTGCCAAGCACCTGTAGAAGAATTGCTAGGAAGGTGTTCTGCCTGAAGCTTCCCATCTCAGAAACGCTGTTCCATTATACCTTCTCCAGATCCATATAGTTTCAGTCCTTAGTTAGATGCTGGCAAACACACCACCACCACTAGCTTCACCACCCGCAATTTTTGTCCTTTTTGTCCTTTGCCTCCCTTGATAAACCCCAGCTGCAGTCGGAGGCATTTTCCTCTCTGCACGTAGGGTGTGCTGCATTTCAGGGCCCCACAGAGTATTATCCTGCCATCCTCCTCTTCCCACCTCTTCAAAGGAATCCCAACGGACTGAGAGGAGGACACCTATGGTGTCCCCACCTCAACAATCTGTTATACTGCTTTCCTGTGTAAAATCATATATATGTATTTTCTGAAGGAAACAGAAGTAGAGACACTTCTGGTAGATGCTCAAAGCAGAAGTCGAAGCTCATTGCCTGCCAGTGCTTCCTGTAGCTGAAAACAGGCAGAAATACGTACCCAAAAGGGGAGCAGCTTAAGATAACCATGCAGCTGAACAAAAGTAAGAGGATCAGCAAAACCTTTGTCAGCCATTGACTGGGCCACTCTGTTGGTTTCTATATTACCTGCACTGTGGCCATAGGCATGGGCAAATGTTCTGCCCGTGTTAAGCATGAGACAAATGCAGAGCGAAAAGGTGGTCCCTCTCCCCTCCAAATTTAGGCTGTAAATAGAAGATGAGGGAGTTGACAGATACAAAAGGATGCAGGACCATAACTGTGACTACTGCTTGTGGCACAAGATTGCCCTTCCCTTGCAATGCTAGATAGTTACTTGCCAGTAATGTGAAGGGTAGATAAGAATTTGTTATTTCCAAGCTTTTGAGACTTAAGTATCACTGAATAGTTTTTATTCATTGATTCTAAGTACATGTAGCTTTGTACCCACATTGCTGATTCCTACAAGTGGAAATTTCACAGTGGTATAAACGATTAGCAGTATAGCAGCACTGCAGTTATTCTACTCTTTTAAAGAGTAAAATAGCTGATATGTTCTTGAGAACATGCTTTTGCTCCTGTAACAGGCAAAAAGTAGTTGCTTTGAATTAGCAGTCACGTGAGGAGCAAAGTCACATCTTGTGTTTTTCAAAAGCATTTTTTTGTTTTTCAGCTACATGGAAAAGACATGTTTTATCACTGTCATTGTGTATCAGTCAAACTTTAATGCTGCTACAACTGGATTTATGATACAACATTATACCTCTGGACATGATGTATTCTCTAGACATGATTTGCAGAAGTAATCTCTTGCAATTCAATCAGTGGGAACTAGGTAAATTAGTCATCATGCAACTACATGTTCAGGTCTGTAATAAATTACTAGAAAAGTAATTACAAAATAGGAAATAAAAATTCAGTGTTGAGAGAGTTGCCACTGTTCTTTATTGCTCGTTCTTGAATCTCTGTTTCCTGGAGATCTTCCCTCATATATAGAAGCAAGATGTAAACGTCTCCAAAGTACAGTAGTACTCAGAGTTTAGAAAGTTTTTCAGAGGCAGGCAACTTTCTGTGGGTAGATGTGCTCATACATCTACAGATGTGCACATACAACTCTGAAATGTTGAAAACTTGGATAAAGCAATTGCTAAATGTTACAGGTAAATGAGATCTCTGTAAGACAGCAGGAAATGCACAAGTTTAATTCTGTTCAAACCTGGGCCTGAGAACTCCGCCTGTCTTTGCAGCACACAAAAGGGCTGCTTCAATTTGACCTGACGTGTGTTTGCCCCATCGACAGGGCCTCATAACAAGGCTACTTAAAATTCCTGGAAGATTTCTATTTAACATTTCCCTCAATTTGAAGTTATTCAAAGATGTAAAAGGCAATAAAAGAAATATCTGTTAAAAAGTATGATCTTTCTAGTGGTCTCAAATAAGATCACCCTCTCTAGGGGCAGGGAATACTTAGGTGGGCACCCACTGAATCCCCCCATTTTATTGTTTTTACCCTTAAAACATCTTCTTTGAGAAATGGATGTGTTTTTTTAATGTCCTCTTTTTTTTAGAGAGATTGAGACACTGAAAGACAAAATGACTTGCCAAAGTTCAACAGAAAGTCTCTGCCAAAGAAAAGCATTCGCGCTTTTTTTTTTTCCTTACATAGGAATAACCACAATGTTGCTTATTGCACAATGTTAGTAATTTTCTGGACACAGGACAGAGTTAGATTTTATGAAAGACAAAAAATTAGATTAAACTACTAGTGCCTTGTATATCTTCAGCATTCTTTTTACAAATGGATTTTCCATCCCTTTTTAATCCTCGGATATTGTTTGGATTATCACATTGTTCTTCTGTCATGCTGTCTTTTTCACTACATATATTGAAATCAGGCTGTCACTGCCAATCAGGGAAAGATTGGGGCATTTCCCGCAATACTATTTTCTTTTGCTTAGTGACAAGAGCCTCCAGCTGCTGTGATTTAGGGCACTGCCTTTCCTTGAACTCAGTAAAGCTGCCCCACTTTACACCAGCTAGGGATGGTGTTGGATATTACTGAAAAGCTTGTTCCAGGTGCTTTTGCCAGCAGGAAGTTACAGCACAGTTCACAAAATTAATGAAAAAAAATTAAGTTTTCAAAGTTTTGGAAGTGAATAACTACTGGTCTCAAGTACATAAAAGCTTTGAAACAGAATAGTACTGATTTTAACTATTTTATTTCTTTAGCGTGGTAGTGACGTGCATGAGTGGTTTCCCTGATTGAAATTGGACACATGGTAAATGCTCATGATTAGAAATTTTGTGACCTTTATATCTGCCTGCTTCAAGTATCAGGTTCCATTGTGGTACCTGTACTACTCACGCTAAATTTCATTTAGACACGAGATAAATGCAGATTGTTCATAATTTTGCACCAAGTTCTCTATTGCTTTATAGCAAACATAGAGTCATTATTTCTGCTGATGTCTCCGCACCTGTTTGTGTCATGGTGGAAACACTCTGGCTGTGCCCACGTGTTTGATGAACAATCAGAACGGATGGTCCTGGAGCTGAAGTAACACCACCTTTCTGTGGCTGGCCATGTTGGATGTGATGCTGCACCTGGACAGGTTGTTGAAAGCAGTACCCATCTAGCAGGCCTTTAGCCACCTGCAGGAACATTAGTAAATAATACTAAATGAAGCAACAAATACAGCATTAGGTATTCTGTCCCGTTCTTTCTTATGGTTCTTATTCAAAAGATGACACAATACACTGAATGTAGTCAAACTCCTTGGCAGTGAAAACCAGTTTGTAGCACTGTTTCACTTGGTAGGCAAGAGATCTAGACAAGAAAAAGCGACACAGCAAGAAAGCAGCCAAGCTGAGGTTAGAAGGATTGATTTCCAGACTCTCAAGCCAATGTCTCCTATTCTTTCAAAATACAATACAAGCTTCGAAACTAATTCATTAGCTGAAATTGTATGTTGGCGACATGAGCGATGAATCAATCATTTACTTCGTTGTGTCAGAAAGCCAAATCTGAATAGGCTGGATTTGCTGATTGTCCCAGTGTAAGGGCTATTTTGCGTCTGTGGATGAAAGGCCAGAGGCACATTAGATTTCTGTTTTCCAGTATTCTGTTTATTTTTTAATACCATTCCCTAGCAACTTTCCATCTGCAAATCCTGTCTGATGATTTGAGAAGGAAACAAGAAATAGTATTTTTTTTCGGAGACAGGTTGAAATACAATGATCTATCTCAGCTTTAATACCGGCTAAAAATTTAAAATGAGTAAATGCTTATGTGCTTCTTGGCTATTTTTCTGGGCTAATGAACTTATGTCAGACACAGAGACAAATTTTTCCTAATCTGAGGAGTCTTGTGGGTTAGAGATTCAGAGGGGTGTCATGGTCAGTCTGTGCATAACACATTTCTGTTCTACCTCCTGGCTCCTTTTCTGTGCCCACTTCTGTCTTTGCATATATCCAGTTCATTTTCCTCGCTACAGAGTGTTTGAGTTAAGCCTGGTATTACCAACAGGTAAGATATTCATATACAGTTTTTTACAGTACTTTGTCCTACTCTCTAGTATTAAATCTTTCAAAATGTAATTTTTATTATATCAGATATTAAACAGTGAGATCCTCTGTTATTCTCTAGAGTTCTATAATATCCAAGGCTCATACATTACTTATTGCAAGCCATGATTCTCGAGTATTCAAAAACATGCAAAATGAGAATAACTTACCTCTTTTTCATGTTATATTTTCTGTTACACTTACTTTTTGAAATAAATGAATGAATATTGACTTGATTTTATTGCAAGCAGGAGAGCATAAATATTAAAATGTTTTCAGAGGGGTTGGAACTACATGATCTTTAAGGTCTCTTTCAACTCTAACCATTCCATGATTCTATGATTGTTGCCTGAGACATTTCTTGCCCTGTTGAATAACTAAGACTTTAACCTCTTGCAGCTTTTTCTCCCGGACCTTCCTGCAAGCTCTCCAAACAGTACATTATTCAAGATCACATGGCTGCTCATTACAAGAAACTGATGTCTGTCAAGGGTATGTACAGTCTTTGACGATGATAACATCTATGTAGCTGAAAGATGAAATCATAGTCAAGGGTTGGTTTCCCTTAGTTTTGGCTGGCTGATGAATTTCTTCCCCTTTCTTTCCCCCTTGTCAGTAACTCAACAGTGTAGGAGGATTTGAAAGTGAGGAGTAACATGGTGTGCCCTACAAGAGGAGATATATGGAACAATTGATTGGAACTGTTGCCTTGTCTTGGGAGAAGCAATCCTAACTGTTGAGAGGTGTAAAGTCTACAACGTCAAACCATTCCACAGAATTACAATTCATGTTAGGAAAGGAAATATTACTTAATTCCCCTGTCTTATTTTAGTAACGGTTTCTGTTTAGATTTATATGGCAGTTGATGACAAGGAAAGGTAAAGTGAGAACCAGGGCAGGTACCACTGAAGAGTAACAGAAGATTAGAGTTTTTGATGTTTAGAAAGTTGCAGTATCAGCCCTAAATAACCCAGAAGGAAGTTTCATGTTTGAGAAGGCTTTTCAAATACCCTCTCTCCTGTAAATACCTGTGAACCACTACTATGAGAATTTGGAATAAAAAAGTATCCTCCATCAGTTGTCTGGAACTGTGTAAACTTCCTGGTGCTTCAGGTGCAGATGGAAACTACCGGAGTTGAATGGTCACAGCTGTAGTTAGGTCACTGCAAGATGTCCAGTCCTTGGGTTTCCAAGGCTTTCTAATCAAACAATTCACTGATAACCAGTGATCTTTATAATAACACATAGCTTTCAAACAATAGAGGAGATTGCTGCTGCATTTTTTTGACAGGAGACCAATTCTTTCATCAATTTGCAGTGCCAAGTGCTTCCTTTTAAACTACTTACCTCAAATCTAGTGCATCTTCTTATCATGGTATCAGAACATGGTATTCATGACCTCCACCATGCTACAGTTCATGATCATCTCACTCGTATTGGGAACTGGAGGCTGGATTGCTGCTGTACACTGTTGTATTTAAATGACTTTTGCTTTGGCATGGCTAATATCACAGAGACAGTGAACTCTAAGGACTGTAAAATTCACATCCTAGTGCATTGCTCATAAATATAGAAAAGCATCCGGACTAATTAAGAACAACAAAGACTGTTGTACATAACTGAAATTGGTTTTATCCTGAACTGGTAAAGCCTAAATGAGCGAGCGAAGATAAAAAAATAAAAGAAAGAAACAAAGATGCTTTGCAGTCTGTCTATTACATTCTTAAAGCTCTGAAGAAAATACACAGAAGATATTATTGGCATAAAAGGAGCCAAGTGCTTTGTTCCCAAGTAGGTTTCCATTTTCCTTTTTTCCAATGTCAGTCCTGCTTGTCTGTAGCAAAATTCAATTAGTTATAGTGCTTCATTCTTACAGGTTTTCCTTGCAGAGCTAAACTTTTGCATACATATTAAAAACTGCAATATTGCAAGGATATCAAAGTTCTCTTCTGTACATACCTTGATTCTCTGAAGCGCTGACTTGTCACACGTTCCGTAGGAGATGATAGGATTTTGTGCCTCTGAAAAATCTGGTCAGCGTTGAGGCTTTCTCCCGTATCCTTCTAAATATTCTCCAATCGTTCTGAAATACAACTGTTTTTTAAAATGCAACCTAGTTGGCCTCTCTCCAGATAGTAGCTAGCCTTGCATGTCTGAAACATTGTTTGGAGCACTCATACAAACTCCAATTTGCTGTGACATTTGGCAGTAATCACAAAAGTGTCTTGGATGGAAATCGAGTCAATGTCCTTCAAATGAAACTGGAATATTGAACTTCTCCCAGGTGATTGCTTTTCCCTCCACAATCAAGAATAGTATTTCCTCTATACCTCAGCTGTATCCAGGTACATGCAATCAGACATACAGCTCCATTAACATCCATACCATCTGCTGTATGGACATATGACTTAATGAAGAGTGTGCAGCAATAGAGTGACAGGGCTTGGTTCCTTGAAGTTCACTTGATTTAACCTTTTACAAAGAAAAACAAATGATTGAATAACAGAAAACGCTGTGTACAAAACTGCCTATGTAATTGTATAATCAAATAACTCCCATTGCTAGAAAGAAGATGAAGAACTGATGACCCTGAGCCTAGGGACAACTTGAATCTCACTCTCTGAGTCTCACTTGCCAATTTCCCCTGGCTGATTGCAGCTCTTGTACTCATCTCTGAAATATAAACCTTTTGGGTAGCAGTAGATGCCAATACAAAATGAGTACAGCTTTTCTTAAATTGTAAACTAAAATGAAGGTTAGTAAGTGTAGCTGTACTGGCTCTTAATTCTATATCTATGGGTGAATGCCAGAAAATTCAGACCCAGGTTTGATGTTGAACCAACAACAGCACTGCTGAGGTACTTCTCTTATTTTTGCTTTTACCCAGATAAAAGACAAGGGTCAAATCTTCAGTTGGTGAAAATGGTGTAATTGTAGTTGGTGTAACTCAACTAACTTCACTACATTTAAGCTATGCTAGCTTTTGAGAGCTGACCGTTGGCCAAGAACAGGAAATAGGAAAAAAATAGTATATATCACTAGGAAAACAATGGGATTTAGTAGTTCGTAGATCTGCTAATATTATGCAGACTGGTACAACATTCCCACAGGGACTTCAACACCTTAGGACGATCAGTTTCATCTCTATTGATTTTTGCATAGTTATTTGTAATGTTAGTGTTTCATTGGACTGAACCTTCTTTTTGTTAATACAGCTGCTGTTGACTCATCTGCACCAAAGAGTCTGCATACCAGTGTTAAATGTGAGTAGTTCTGGTTTGTTTTCAAAATAGGACCGGCTCCATTTGTTTGGTTTGGAAATACTTGTCTTCTTTTATGATGAAGATTTTCTGAAGAGGAATGTACGTGCCAAAAATATGCTTCACTGTGATTAGGATGATAGTATCTAGTAACTAATCTAGTATCTAACTTAACAGCTGTATCTACCACTTGGTTCATGTTTGCACAGGTACACGCTAACTTGCAGACCGTGGAATTCTTGTATATACATACTTTAAGCAACGGGTCTTTTGGAAGAATGAATTGCTTTAGTTTTTCAGTCTAATCTCAGACCACTGGCCTGTTGCATTTCTTGCGAATCCACACGGTATTTTTTTTAATCTTTAACTGCATCGTGTCTCTCTGGGCATCAGGCATGCTACAGTTAAAACAGGTTTTGAGAAATGAACGAGTTTTGGTAGAACATTGCACTGCACCTTAACGCCACCTCTTGGCTGAAGCCTGCAGCACCCAATGCGTAGGCAGAGTCTCTCCTGCCCTTTCTTCTTTGAAAGGAAGAAAGATTGATGAAAAGCAATACATTCATCCCTTTCCCAGGAAACAGGGCACTCACTCTGGCATGTTGCTTAGTTTTCTCCATTCACCAGGTTGTGAGGCATATGCTACTTCTCTGATAGTTATGTACATGAGAGCACACACACTTTCTACAGAGAAAACCCCCATTTTAGAATGAAATTTAAAAGAATGAAAGCTTCTATTTTTCCACAGTGCATACATAGTGGGAAACATGCATTAGAGATTGCAGTAGGCCATTGCTCTGAGCAGGGTATAATGTAATTGGAAGCAAAGATATCTCAAAGGTAATGGTGAGATGCAGTTGTTCAAGCAAGATACACACAAATCAAGAAGGCAATCATTTTAAACTTAGTATTTTCAATTGATGACTTTATGAGAACGGTGCCACAGCAACAGAATGAAAAGCTGTAGAAAGCTTTCTGAGAATGTTAATGTTTGACAGAAAGGTAACTCTGACACCGAAGTCAGAGAGGAGTAGCATCACACCTACAAAGATCATGAGGACATAGAATTTGTTCAGCTACCTGCCTTAGCTACAGGAGTCCATTTTCCTAGATGAGGTATCAGAGAGAAACATTATCTGTGTTTCTTATAATGCTGTCTTAGAAAGCTACTGTATCGTTGTGTGGAGTTTCTGTTAATTTAGAAGCCCACATGAGTGCAAGGCTCCTGGTGCACATAGAGGCCATAACATGAGATTCACAGTCAAAGTCATCATTTTTGTGAGTAGCCCATTGGGGAAATGCAAATCACTTTTGTCATTTAATATTTATCTTCGCTAAAATATACTATGTATCACCTAAGCCCTTTTTCTAACAGGCTAGCTCCAGAAACATCCGTTTTAGCTAAAGAAGTTTTGTCCCTTAGGGGATAAAACTGAAAATTTCAAAGTCACAATGAAAAAGTGCAGCAGAACTTAGGTCTTCTGAAGTTTGAAGTCAAGCAGTAGCACAATGAAGGTACAGTTGCTGTTAATGGGGTTGATGTGCAAATTGTTTGAGCAGTATAAAATGACTTTATGCCTACAAAAATAGGTTTCTGTTTAATATTTGCATATTCAAAGACACAAAATAAATGAAGGCTGTTTTGCCAGCCTACTAGAACAATAGAGGACAAAATTAATTTTATGCTTAGTACAAGATTACAGCGTTTTCTTCTTTTCATGAAAATTTTCTCCCACAACAACCTCCTGCTATTGCTGTTACTAGTTACTAAGTACAGTGTGCTTTTAAAACCTTGAAATTTATCAGAGCTTTTACAGATACACATTCTGATGCAATATAATTTCTAACCTGTTCTCAGTCCAAACATTCAGATAGGTATGACCTTGTTTTCCAAATGTGTGACCTGTGTTGGATACCATGTGTTTCAATGGTGGGCTGGAAGAAGAAAATTCAGATCACTCCATAGTGATGCAGACGTATGCAAACCTATTAAAATAAAGAAAAAAAAAATCAAACAGCTACAAAGATTAGTTCTGAAAAGACAGAAGAAAATACAATGTGCAGTGCTTTGTTTCACTTTATGAATAAATGTACTGCAGACAAAACACTGCAAACAATTAGCTTTTTTGACAATCTGAAAATGCATCATTTCACAAGCTGTCTGTACTGGTGCACTTTAGCTTTAGAACTGTATAGACAAAGTGGGGGATGTGCAATGTATAGGACTTTCTCCTGAATGTCTTCAGGTATAACTTGGATTTTCAGTTCTGGGGTTTAAAAGGGCACTGTTTTAAATTTGACGCTTCATTGGGCTTTTTGCTGGTTTAGATCTCATGAAGTTGCTAATGGTGCGGTTGGTAAGGGTGTCATTGAATTAGCCGAGATTGTTTCATATAAAAAATTCTTCTAACAACCTTTAAATATGGTTCATAAAGCATTACAAGTGCCAGCTTTCATCAATTTGTGTGAATAGAATAGAGTAGACTCGACTAGAATATTTCAGTTGGAAGGGACCTACAATGATTATTTAGTCCAACTGGCTGACCAATTCAGGGCTGACCAAGTTAGAGCATGTTATTAAGGACAATGTCCATATGCCTCTAAAACACTGACAGGCTTGGGGCATTCACCACCCACCTAGGAAGCCTGTTCCAGTATTTGACCACTGTCTTTGTAAAGAAATGCTTCCTAATGTCCAGCCTAAATCTCCCCTGGCACAGCTTTGAACCATTCCCATGTGTCATGTCACTGGATACAAGGGCAAAAGAATAGTTGTGGCTCTTTTCTGCCAGAGTGACATTTGAAATGCTGTTGAAATCACACAAACTTATAAGCCAGGGAGAAACAGGTAACATGAAGCCTCCTGAGCAGTCCTTTCTGTCCAACAAAGCAGTTGGCTTTGTCGTAGCAGTAAGACTGCATCTCTGGTGTGCTCATTCTAAGAATCACAGTCCATTTTTCAGCTCTCCTCAATGGAAACACATCTGTCCCCTGCTTTAAGACTAGGTATATTAGCTGGAGATGCATCAGAGATCAGAAATATGGGAGATATAGTTCATCATCTTAAGTGTTCTTGTGGAAATAAAATTAAACAGAGGTGTTTTAAGAGTCATGAGAGCAGCATGACTTATGAAACTACTGTGAAAACAGTGATTCTTTGGGCATCCTAGTGTGGAAAATGTCTGACTAGGAGGATATTTGCATTTCTTACACTCAGCAGAAGCCACATTTGCTAGAAAGAGCATCTAATAAATATGGAAAGAGCATAAGATGTTCTGCTGAACACACTAGTTACCAGGTTTCAGAAGGGTGTCTTCGCGATCAAAAAGAATTTCTGTTCCAATGGAAATGTGAAATTTCTGGGGAAAAAAAAAAATCCATTTTGAGGCATTGTTTCTATTCCAACAAAGGTTAAAATTCAAAATAATTTTGTTTTAAATCAGATATTTTATTTATTTATACAGCATTGAGCTTGAGACTTAAACTTACCTTTTAAACCCAGGGAGTCCTCCAAATTTCTCAGTTAGTAGGGATTAATAATTAACAATTAATTAATAATAAGCAGCTGAGTAACATTCGTTGACCTTGGAAGCACGAGACAGTGCTCCAATGACCATCTCTAGAAGTCTCTTCCAAACATCATTTCCATGATACTGTGATGCTTTGCCCCAAATTCACAGAGCCCAAGTTTGAGTCAGGTCTCCTGAGGCTGATCAGCTCAGTAAGAGGAACAGAAACCTTGGCTGATGTACATATGAAGCTGTCCCAGATGAGCTGGCAGGAAACTAGGAAAAACTTAATACTCATGAAAGATTAATCAAAACCAGTCCTTAACAAAGGAATCTATAAAGGTAACCCACACTTCATAGAGGAAAATGAGCCACCCAAATCGTTAGTTGTCCTGCAGTTCTGAAAATCCCTTACTAAAGATCAGCTCTTTGGCTCCATCACACTCAGTCCACCACTCCAAGGAAGTGCCGTAGTCCAGGGCACCCTGCCCTAATTCTCTTCCTACTCTCCCATTCCAGGAATGAGAGCGACTCCACCAAGACCTGCTCTCATGTATTGTTTTACTCCTGGTTTTGCAGTATCTGGTCTGCTTCCGTTAGCAGAATATTGGGTATCAGTCCAGCAAAACAAGGACACCAGCATTGGTGAAGCTGTGGTAGGAAGTGGTGAGGAACCTCAGGCTCACTCTACACAAGTTAGAGAATCTCCTGAAGGAAGACCTAAAGTACATCTGACTCTCTGGGCACATCTTTAGGGCTCCATGTTGTTGGTCGTAAGACAAAGCCATCCTCCTCCTCTCTATTGAGCTATGATGTGATTACCAAGCCAAGGTCAACTACTTACAATGGCAAAATGAGCTATTCAGACCGCTGCATATTCTGCACAATTCCCTTGCACTTTTAGAAGTAAAGTCTATACATTTACCCAAAAGGAATTACAAGTAATATTATATGTAATACATGAGGCCATGTGAAAGTTTCTCCTTCACCTTTTATGGAGTATTGACCACATAATTGCTCCACGTACTGTGACTAATTTTTATAAATATGAAAGCCAAAAGTACATATAAATGTGTGCAGAAACATATGCTTTAGTAATTGGAAAACGGAATAGTAGCTTTCTTTAAGAGGAATTTTATTCTTTCTGTGTACCAGCAGAGTACTTAAGTGCTTAGATATGGCACACAATGGTCTTTTTATAACCTGTGTTTTTCCCTTTCTAATTCTCTGCATGAGACAGACATTAGTCAAAATAATAATTTCCATTTGGGTTTAACCAGTTTAAAATTAAGTTGCTTTGCAACTTTCAAGACCATAACACCTGTGAAAAAGAACAAGTTGTTCCTCCAGACAGTTCAAGATGTACAAAATTGCAGCATTTTATCTACAGTTTGTGTGAATAATCTATAGAGTCAATTATGTAAATATGATTTTATTCTTTCAGATGTAGAATCTTAGCTGTCACTAATCTTGGGCAATTGAATGGATCATTTA